GTCAAATGAAGACAGATGCAAAGATTGGAGTGCAGCAGCTCAAACCAAGTCACTCCAAGTGTTGCTGGAATTCACCAACAGGTAGGAGGAAGCAAGGAAAGCTACCTCTCTAGAGCTTTAGCAGGAGCACAACCCTGTTGACACATTGATGTCAGGTATCTAGTTTCCAGAACTATGAGAGAGTAAGTTTTTCTTGGTTTAAGCACCCTCTGCTTATGGTAACATAGTAAGACAATGCTTAGGAAGCCAGTGTACTAATAAAGTAAATCATGTCATCATCTCCAGTGTCCAGGGAGGGCCAGTCCTGCCAGGCTGGGGTTCTCAGATCCATACTCCATCCTCCCATATTCTGCTCTCAGCCTGGAAAACTAAACTCCAAGAACTGCATCAATTGACCCCTTCCCCTCTATTTTCTGATTGTGGTTTGCCCCTAACAAGAGTTGAGAATTGAGAGGGCAGGAGGAGAGTGAAGCTAGGAAGCTTCCTTCACCACTTCTCCACCAGACAGGCAGCAGCAATGTTCTTCTATCAAAGAGACAACTTCCTGCCAGGCAGCCCCTTCTTCCACTTGTTTCTTGCTCTCCAAATTCTGATGAACATTTCTTCCCATTGCACTTCCAGACCTGGGAACAGGCAGGGGCAGGGACGGGTAGCTACTGCCCGCTAACAGTGCTTCATCATTCTTTGCAAATAGTGTCTTTATTAATCTCTTCTAAATAACTTTATTTGAACTTGCCATCTAGTTTCTGCTGAGAACCAGTGGATACATAATCAAGTACCTAGGGAGAGCACTGGAAATTTGCTTTGCACAGTGGGACTCACTAAGTTGAGAAGCAGAACCAGTGACATGATACTGGGAGCTGCAGCAAGAGCCTCAGATCAGTCCCCTTTCTCTGGCAGAGGAAACAGAGTGAGGACCTAAGTGAATTTCGAACTCCAGTTCCACCATTTATTACCTATAATATAAATTTCCCTGAGCTCAGTTTCTCCACCAAGACAAAGGTTTTAACAATACTTCCCACTGTAATGAGGATTAAGGGAAATAAATATGAGAAGAACATAACTGTAGTAGGCAGAATAATGCCTCCCAAGATTTCCCAGCCTTAAAATGCCTGGTAATCTGTAAATGTTACTTTTTATAGGGTAAAAAGAGACTTTGAGGATGTGATTAAGATTACAGACCTTAAAATCCTGGTTTATTGGAGAGACCCATCTAATCATGTGAGCACTGAAAAGTAGAAGAAAGAATTCCATTACCGAACCGTGGCGGGGAGTGGAGTCAGGAGAGATTCAGCAACACAAGCACATAACCTACCATTACTAGTTCTGAGATATTCAAAGACTACATGCAGCCCATGCAATGCCCTCCAAGAGACCTCTAAATGCCAAAGGGCCCTCCAGATGGCAGCCAGGAAGGAGACAGGAATGGTGGTCATACGGGTCCTGAATTCTTCTGACCAACTAAAGGAATTCTTCACTAAAATTTCCAGAAGAGAAAACAGCCAGAAAAACGCCTTGATTGGGGTCTTATAAGGCCAATAGAGAACTAGCTGAGTGCACTGGGCTTCTAACCTATATAACTATGCGGTAATCACTGGGTATTCTCTTAGGCCCCTATATTTGTAGGAATAGAAAAGTAATGCAGTAGCATGGTGAGGTCTTGGTGCATAGTATATACCCACTACATGTACGCGATCTGCCAGCAAAGAGGAGAGCTAGGGAAGACACAAAGGGTCTGTCCAGGCGCCCAAATAAATTGCACTCTCGAAGAAAGAAACGTTCTGTGATTTTGCAATGTAACCTCGAAGCTGGCTTCTCTGGCACTCTCAAGCTATCTTGAGTAAAGTTCCCCTACATGTGTAGCCTCTGGCAGCAGCGGCAGGAGGAAATCTAGGAAATATTGCACTTCTTCCTGACTTAGGTGAAAAGAATCATGTGCCCATCTGACATTCAGAAGGAAAACCACACCACACCACTCTGTCATCTCTCTGCTAAGACAGCCCTTACCTGAAATCTTTAGTCTTACCACCCTCTTTCTATGAGGCGGTTTCTAATATTCTCCCCTACTAGAAGCATAACCTAAGATTATTTCCTGATGCTGGCACTTTCCTTCTCTTTCCCCAAGTCAAACCCATCTTTTCATCATGTCCATCATTTTATGTCAGTAACTTCCAACTGCCTCGCCACACAAGCCCAGTCCTTACTCAAGAGCATAGACTTCCATGGCTATGCTGCTTTATTTGATGACTGGAGCTTCTATGCTGTATTAGTTGGGTTAATTTAATGAATGCCCTAGAACATTGGCCCTGAGCCCTATGTCAGATATATGAGCCCCTGGGGTTCAATCACCAACAAAGTATGCGAACGATAGAGGGGAGTATGGCTACTGAATCAAAAGAGTAGACACTGCTTCAACTCACAGTCTTCCCTGAAAGCTTCACAATAGCAACTGGTGATCCTTTTGTAAATAATTTTCACTGCCCTTATTGGAGACCCAGATCACTATAAGAAGTTGTGATAATAAGGGCTAATATTGTTTGCTTACTATGCATCAGGCTTTAATCTGTGTAACTGTGAAAGTGTTATCTAAATCCTCAAGGCAAATTCAAGAGTTAGTTTCTAGAGTTTTATTAATATGCTTTATAAGTGAGGAAACTAAGTACCAGAAAATTTAAGTAAATTGTCTTAGGTTAACTGGCAGTAAAGGAGAAACTATAACATCTTTGATGCTATAGATAAAAAAAAAAAAAAAGTCAAAAAAAGAGGACAGGGCTATAGGTCTAGATGAGAGAGACCAAAGTACCCCATGGAGCTTGGGGGCTAGGGACACATCACTCCTCTTTCCTTTATTTCTTCATCTCTACTATAGAGATCAGCATACCCATCTGTTATGAGGATTAATTTCAGCAATTTATCTAATGGATATCTCCTCTGTTCAAAACATTTTAATATGCATTACTCTCTTGCCTTCCACCCAAGAAACACCTTATATAAAGATGAGCTCAAACTCCAAATAAAATTGTTTAGACACTTCAAACAAAGAAACACAAATGTAAGGTGTAGAGAAAGTAGTCCAAGTGATGATCTCAGAAAGATCATCAGGCCTGGACAGGCTGTGTTGAATTGTCACTTCTGGAATAGATTTCTGACCCACTATCAAAACAAATGCCAGCTGAATTCCCAAGAGTAGAGATGGTCACCCAGATGACCTCTTGTTATTTAACTTAAAGCCTACTACATTTTCTGCATCAAGTCACTTAAGGACATAACCACAGCAGTTCCCTGTATAAATTAGAGCATTACTCAGTCTCTACCTCTGAAGGTTGGGGACAGTCCTTCCTAGTAACTATTCAGCTTTAGGGGGGTCGGTTGGTCTCAGGAACAGCTGACAGCCTTATTTAGCTAACCAGCTGCTCTGTGATACACAATGTCCCAAAAGTCTGGTGGATGATTCTTTTGTATCCATATAAGCAGCAGTTGGAGGAGAATCGATCTCCCTTTGGTAGCATTGGGATGTCAAGGCTGCCACTCAAATAATTACCACCATAATTATTAACCATTGTTTTTGCGCAGTAACTGCCAGCTAGTTTTCTCTTTCTATTTTTCTTCTTAAATCATTAAAAAACAATTTCACTGGAGCAGTCACATCAATTTATTAAACACTTATTAAACACCTTCTGTTTGTCCAGTTCAGTGACAAGTCTTGGAAATGGGAATACTTAAAATACTCTCTGATTTTAAATAACTAGTTTTGTGATGAAGAAGGTTTAACCAGGAAACAGTTTTAGGGAAAAGTTGCACACTGTAGAATAGGCTGCTTCAGAGTTTCACTGTGTGGCAATTTTATCTCCTAGATTTTGTTACTGTGGGGATGGGGTGCAACAGAAAAGACACCCGCGTTAGAGATTTGGAGAAGTGGTATATTGTGTTAGAAAATTGCTTTCCCCTCCCCACCCCCCCAGCAGGTAAGAGAAAAGCACACAGGAAGCAGGCTGGATATGCACCCCATTACAGCAATTACAGCAGTCACCGGAGCCTGATTCTCTGGAAGAGAGTTCATTTTGGAAAATGTTAAAGGTCGTTTTAAAAGGGCTTTTTCTTGGGAATAAATGATGTGGCAAAGTGAGCTGTTCAAAGGCCTTATTCACGTTGTGGCTTGGAATATTTTAAGCCTTTTTTTTTTTTTTTTCTCTCCAAGAAAGCAAAACCCGACAGAACTAAGGGCTGTACATAGCAAAGTCACAAACCAGGCACAAAGACATTGCTGGAAGAGATAGATGGCTTAGCCAAGTCACCTAATCTCGGCACCTTGCCTGCCGCCCCAGAAAATGTCTGTTAACCACATCCCCGGGGACGGTAAACACTGCAAAGAGTGAAAACATTATAAAACAAGAGAAACGGAACCTCGAGGGACACAAAAGATGGTGAATCAACGGCGGCGCTCCAGCCCCAGCGGTAGAGGCAGCTCCCTGCGGACAGGTACCCGCCTTCGCGCCGCTGCTCACCGACAGCGCCGCCCGGGGAGAGACGCCCCCACGTGTCCACCCTCGGATTTAGAAGGAAATAGAGATGAAAGGGGGCGCTGCTTCTGGGTTGGCGCGCGCGGGCAGACGACGGGCCCGGGAGAGGAGGGATCCTGGGGCGCAGCAGGGTGGCCCTGAGCGGGGTTTACAGTGCACAGCGCCAGGCTGGGTCCCTGGGGCAGCTTGCGGTTGGGGTTGTAGGTAGGAGAGTTCAAGCGATGGGAAGACGATGGGGCCCAGGGTGGTGCGACAGTCCGGGGACAGTGGCGAGGACAGAGGCTGGTGCCAGGAGGTCCCGGGTGAGCGTGGGCACACACACCCTGCCTTGCGCGTCGAGCCTGGACGCTGACCGCGCGGGGCGCGCTCCCGCCTTGGAACGACTCCTATCTTCCGCCGAACTGTGCGGGGAGGGCTACGCGTCAACAGCAGCGGCTGTGGGCGGGGGCGCGTGCGCGTGCGCGTGCGCGTGCGCGGCTCTCGCGGGCGTGGGGCGGCGGGTATGCGCGTGCGCGCCCGGTGTCTGGTCGTGCTTTGACAGGCGGCGGCGGTGGCGGCGGGCTCTTCTTGCCTGGGCTGATCCAGACACCCGCGGCGGCGGTGGCGACCCCGCGGCGGGCGCGGAAATGTGGCCGCTGGTGGTGGCGTTGCTGCTGGGCTCGGCGTGCTGCGGTGAGTGAGCCTTCTGGCCCTGCGGCCGGTGTTGCGGCGGCCCAGCGGATGTGTGGGTTGCACCTCGGATCCCCCCTCCTTCCCCCAGCACCCCGAAGAGCTGCCTTTTCCTCCCTGCGCGCCCCCAGAGCGGATGGGGCAAGGCCCCGTGGGCAATCGAGCGCCCTCTACCATTATTCCCCTCTTCTCCCTCTTCCCCCCGGGTGAGAGCTGGACTCTTCCCGGTTCTCCAGCTTCAGACGTCCAAACAGTGCACCTCGCGTAAAAATTAAGTGTATATAGAAAAGGCGCGATAGGAGGTGGTGGGTTTGACATCTGTTAGGGTCTCTTCTCTTTCGCACCCGTCTTCCTCTTGATCGCTTGAACGCATTTGGTGGTGGGGGGGGGGGGGTGAAGGAGAGAGTGGGAGGGCCCGGGCCTCTTGAGATGGAAGTGCGCATTTTGGCGAAGTCCGCAAGACTGGGTTTCTCCTGTTTGTCCTCCTAAATGAAAAAGGAGTTAAGGACACAATTAAGTTTAATTTTTCAATCCAGAATTTAATCAGAACCTCTTCACGTCCTTCCCTTATTTTAACCCTAGAAATAAGCTTCCTGGAAACTCTTTCAGGATACAACCCAGACCCATCAGCCACTTGAATGCATTTCCAAATTGAACGTTTGAGTTTTCCCACTTCATTTGGGGGATCCGTTTTAAAGTAATCCAGATTTTGCGTGAAATACGAAAACAGTAACCTCTAGTCAACACCCATTTGAGTAGAGTGGGATTTGGTTTCCCTCAATGCCAAAGATGTTTTGCACCCCTCTTCTCCGCCGCACCCCCCCACTCCCCCCCCCCACCAAACCTTTGGAATCCATTTCGCTTTTTTGCAACGTATGCTTGTCTCGTAAAACTGAGGAAGGAATAGGAATTTTCGTGGCTCCATAGTGCCTGTCATACTTTACATTTATAGTTTATAGAGCCTTTTTTGAACTTTTTGTAAAACCCAAAATTGAACTCGAATAACAGTAGCAAGCAATTCTTACATTTAGTACCTGAGTGCTAAATTAATTAGATTTTAAGCTGTGCTATTCATGAATGTTTACTTTGCTATTAGCTTTACTGTGCTATTCATGAACGTTTGTGACTTCAAGCTATTTCCAAAATGTACTCAAGTCCCTACTTACCACTTTCCTCACTCTGTTGGAGCTGTTAATAATCATTATCTCTTATCTAAAGGTTTGATTAGATAACGTAGTGTCTTTTGTTATCATCATTAATGGTTTGGTTACATTACTCTACGTGTATCTTAAATAATACTGCTCTTAAAAACCTGTTGTATGATCAGAGAGCCTCCTTACTGTACTAGCTTATAAATTTGCAATAAAATATCCTTAATTCTCAAATCACTAGCATGAAAGCAAGTCTAAAGAATAGAAAGTGTGTATCTTATAACTGTGTTTGTGTTTTTTTAAATAAGGGTCTGATTTTCGAGTAAATTAGAACTACTAGAATGGTGCTTTGGGGGATAAGAATTCTATTAGGCCTCCTTTAGTAATAGTTACGACACATAAAATTAGCAGTCATTTAAATGCAATATTAATGTGTACAAATCCCTATAGAGGCATAGGATTAAAAATTTACAGCATTTTATTGTAATTAGTTATTAACCTGGAAAAAGAGGCATTATGCATTTTTCTGTTATTAAACATAATATAGTGTTTGTCATAAAATATAATGATTTTGTTTTGAAGATATAATTTTAAAAGGATATATATGAAGAGATGTTAACATTCTTAAAATCGTAGTATAAACCAAGGTATTTAGAAAAATAAATTTACAATCTAGAATAAGAAAGTCATGAATTTGTATGTTTGTTTGTACTGAAGTCTGGTTTTGCTTTCAGCATACTTATGAATGACTGATAACCAAAACCATTTTCCAGTAGTCACTAGTTTCAGTTGACCCTTGTAATAAAATACGTTATTTAAAATACCCTTTCCTTCCAAGTTCAGGCAAACTGCAACTGCCAGTATTGCCTGACAAGATGCTCCTTTCCTTCCACCACTCCCCCCACCCCATATGTCAGATTTTACTGTGTTTGATAGCATATCAACAGCTTCAGTGGTATTCATTAACTGTCAAATAAAACTTTAGTCAAATAATGACAGTGATATGGACTGCTTTTTCAGTGGTTGAATGATTTTTCTTTGTTCAAAGTTAATTTTTAAAATCAAGGACACACATCGTTAAATTGTTTCCCCCAACCCCAAATTCAGTGCCAATTTGGCTTGCTGAAGTGAAAATGCTTTATGTTATCCTAGAGACTATATTACTTGCAAACACAAGGGGCCATTTTAAGGAAGTAAATGCCTATTTAAAAGTACTTATTTATGGGACCACCCCAGTAGGCTAGAGGCTGCATTCAAGCATTACACTAAATACCTCCTTCCTTGAGGACACTTGCTCATGCTGACATCGGTTTTCTGGCAGATGCTTCATCTTTATCACTGAGCCCTTAGTGAAGATTTTTCAAATTACATGATCAAAAGCTAAATAATAAGCATTTCCCCAAATTGATAAATTTTCTACCCAAAATATCTTGAAAATTGAGTTTACCTTCCCTAATGTATATGCACTTAATTCATTAAGGTCCTTTTTGTCACATAATGTTCAGATAATCATCTTACCCAACTTTTAAGTTTTTATTAGTACAACTAATACAACTAAACAAGATAAAATACTTTTATTTTTATATCTTAGGTCTCAGCCTAATAGTATGCACTCTTTGGCTGTTATAAAGCTACTTTCCCTTTGAGTGCTAGTGCAGATCATTGCCTCTATGATAAAAATTATAATGTGTAGGATCAGTTATTCACAAACTCATTGCAATACTAAAGAAAATATAGAACACGCAGAAAACTTGACTCTGATATACCTAGACAAAGCTATTAGAACCTCCTTTTTCCTCTGTCTGATTGCATGGAGATGAAACACATATTGGAAGCTACACCCTCTTCTGAATATTTCATTCTATATCTATAGAGCAGTTGTATGAGACTCAGAATCTGGTGAACCTCAGGGTTTGAGACTTAGATTAGGAGAATAAATGTGCATATTTGAATACATATCACACTTGTGGGTTTAAAGCAAGGCAAGGGATTTGGCAAGTGCAGGTTCTGTCAAAATTGCTTTTCTGTTTCAAGCAAGTATGAGTCCATACTATATTCTGAGCACTTTTCTAGACCCTCATGAGCATATAAACATACTTCAGAATGCATGTCTCTCAATTACTTAACATGCAGTTTACAGAGAGTAGAGATTTTTTATTTTTATACCTCGGTGATACTTAATATTATCTTAAGTACTTAAAAAGACTGTATTTCTGGATGTTACTAAAACTGCCCTGCTCACTGTAATTAAAGGTTGACCACTTGCATACTTACTAGGCCACCTTTAAACTTGGTGGAGGGGATTACTCTGAGTCAGCATTCACTAACTTGCGGACAACTTACCTTACTTCTGGGGTACTGACTGAGAAGAGATTTGACTAAATCCTCCATTTTGTCCCTAATTCTAGCCTGATTCATAGCTGGGATTAGGTCTGATGGCAAAACTGGAAGGATTCATTTCTGACAGGTATCTTTACTCATGATCTTTGCTTCATTTACCTTAGTGACTGTTGAGACTTCCTATCTCATTCTTGAACATCCATTCTAAGCAGATAATTAACATCCTACTCTGCTGCAAAAAATAGTGATGTGTGGTGTGGACTCTCATCTTCCCTCCCACCATTACTATAGTTATCTATATATCTTAGGCAACCTCCATTTCATTTTCTCCTCTGACCCAGTTTCAGAGTATCTACCCACCCTTCCAAGGAAAGGACCACTTGTCTCCAGCTCTTTCAATTCCATCACCTTGGAGACCTGCCCAATCAGTTTAATTCTTCAGTTTTGTATCTTACATCTTTCCCTCTCCATAGGACCCTTCACCTTAAGTTGTAAACATGTACAACTTTTACCGCATATTAAAAATAAAAAGAAAGAGCCAAAAATCTTACCTTTCCCTACCTCCAGACTTGGTTTTATTGTCTTCTCTCTGCTTTCTCATACTGCCAAGTTTATTAAAAGAGGATCACTCTTTTTTCTCCCCTCCCTGCCACTTCCCAGTTGCAGTCTGACTTCTGATCCCATTAGTCTGTTGCCATCGCTGCAGATAAAGAAGCTAATGATGTAATTTTCATCCTAGAGGTGCTTTTTACTCATGCCATTTAACATCTATTTTGTCCATATTAGACACTTCCTTGGTGTTTGCAGTGGGATTCGTGGCTGCCTCACCTATTTCTCTCACTTTTTTTCTCACTTCTTTGGTTTGTTGTTCTTCAACTATTTGCTCCATAAGGGTTGGAGTTCCTCAACATTTTATTCTCTAACACCACCAGGTCTTGCTTCACAAGAACTCTCTGGGCTACCTTGTTTATACTCACAATTTCAATTATCAGTTATATTTTTGGTTATTTCTAGGTCTTTGTCACTCCAGTCTTTCTTCTTAAATCTCGGTCCATATATTCTGACATTTATTTCTGCTTTCTTGTACAGTTAGCTCACAGTTTAGCTACACATACACTTGAATTAGCAACTTTAATTCTTCCCTCATTTTTTCCATCACTTTCTTCATCTAACTTAGTTTGATATTAGGCTTTTTTTTTTTTTAACTTTAGTGTAATTTTTGGACCATGTCCCTAGTGGTCATTTAATTGGACTGTTGCAGTGGGTCTCTTTTTCAGCACCCTTCTTGCCCACCCTTCACCCTTCATATTGTTATATTTAATTTTTAAGTGCCAATAAATCTTAGTGTTTTGATGTTGCCTGTGTTATCAAGTGTAGACTTCTCAGAAAGACGTTCAAGGGAGCTTTTATCATATTTTAACCCTCTTTTCCAACTCCTATTTTTAGAGGTCACCTGAAGAATCTTTTGCTTTCCATTATTCCTTTCTTTATTCCTCTGTATTTGTTACTTAC